CTTGAAAAATATTCCACGTTTGAGTCTTGAAAAAAAATTTAAAAAAATCCACGTTTGGTCCTTGAAAAATATACCACGTTTGGTCCTTGAAAAACATTCCACGTTTGGTCCTTGAAAAATATTCCACGTTTGGTCCTTGAAAAATATTCCACGTTTGGTCCTTGAAAAATATTCCACGTTTTGGTCTTGAAAAACATTTTTAAAAAATCCACGTTTGGTCCTTGAAAAATATTCCACGTTTGGTCCTTGAAAAATATTCCACGTTTTGGTCTTGAAAAACATTTTTAAAAAATCCACGTTTGGTCCTTGAAAAATATTCCACGTTTGGTCCTTGAAAAATACTCCACGTTTGGTCCTTGAAAAATATTCCACGTTTGGGTCTAGAAAAATATTTTTAAAAAATTCCCGTTTGGTCCTTGAAAAAATTCCACGTTTGGTCCTTTAAAAATATTCCACGTTTGGGTCTTGAAAAATATTTTTAAACAAATCCACGTTTGGTCCTTGAAAAATAGTCCACGTTTGGCTCTTGAAAAATATTTAAAAATCCACAATTGGCCCTTTAGAAATTCACTTCAAAAAGGTTCTTAAAAGATCCCAGTTTTGTCATTGACAAATACTTGATGACAAATCCTTGAAAAATATTTTCGTTAAAAAATCCATGTTTGGCACTTGGAAAAAAATTAAAAAAAAATGACATTTTATGACTCTAATGATACTTGAAAAATATAAAGAAAACGCACACATTATACTGGTAGCTCTGATATTTCTAAGAATTATGTTTGATAGTAAAAAAATATATTCCTAAAAATCCACATCCCTTGGCTCTGGTAGTCCTAAAAGTACTTCAAAAATCAACTATTTTTTCTGTTTTATTTCTGTCGATTCTTAGAAACGTTATGAAGAGGTAGCTCTAGTTCGGTCCGATTCCATTCGGACTTGGCACATCTTAATATATCTATCAACACAAGATCTGTTATAAAGATGGATTGAAAAGTATTTCAAAAATTCCACGTTTGGTGGCTCTGATGATCCTTGAAAGATATTTTTAATAATCCACTTTTGGTGGCTCTGTTGGTCTTTTAATCCATTTTTGGCCGTTGAAAATAAATTTTAAACATCCCTTAAAAAAATATTCTTAAAAAATGCACATCAAAAAAATCCTTTGAAGTTTTCTCTTTAAAATCCAAGGTTGGTGGCTCTGATCACCTTTGAAAAAAATTCTTAAGAAGCCACTTTTTTGACTCTAATAGGACTTGAAAAAAAAAAAAAACACACACACAAAAATGTTTTGGGTAGCTCTGATATTCCTAAGAATTGGTTTGGATGGCGAAAATATATTTCTAAAAGTCCACATTCCTTGGCTCTGGTGAACCAACAAATATTCTCCAAAATCCATTTTTGTTTTATTTCTGTCGATTCTTAAAAACGTTATGAAAAGATAACTCTAATTCGGTCCGATTCCATTCGGATTTGGCACATCTTAATATATCTATTAACACAAGATCTGTTACAAAGATTGATTGAAAAGTATTTTAAAAAATCCACGTTTGGTGGCTCTGACGATCCTTGAAAGGTATTTTTAAAAATCCACTTTTGGTGGCTCTATTGGTCCTTTAATTCACTTTTGGCCGTTGAAAATAAATTTTAAACATCTACGTTTGGCCCTTAAAAAATATTCTTAAAAAATGCACCTCAAAAAAGTCCTTTGAAGTTTTCTCCTTAAAATCCAAGGTTGGTGGCTTTGATCACCTTTGAAAAAAAATCTTAAAATCCACTTTTATGACTCTAAAAGGATTTAAAAAAAAAAAAAAAAAAACACACACACACACACAAAAATTTTTTGGGTAGCTCTGATATTCCTAAGAATTGGCTTTGATGGCGAAAATATATTTCTAAAATTGTACATTCCTTGGCTCTGGTGAACCAAAAAATATTCTCCAAGATCCATTTTTGTTTATTTCTGTCGATTCTTAAAAAACATAAAAAGGTAGCTCCAAAAGTCTAGAATTTTTAGCTCTATTTATATTAAGTACATTTTGGAAAATTTTAGTACGAATTCCCCTCCCAAAATATCGGCAATTTTATGTCTGACATAAAAAATTCTTTGCCTTTAAAATATTCTCAAAAGAAGCTTCCTTCGTCCTTATTGTAATACATTGATCCTGAAAATATATTCAAATAAAATATATCCTAAAATAAATACTAGTTTGGTGGTCTTTAAATAAAAATATATTTAAAAATCCACTCAATGACCTCGCAGGCATTGAAAATTTATTCTACCTTTGAAAAAGGGTCAAACATTTGAATAACCAAACACGATCATAAAATCCAGAAAAAAACATCAGGTTATCTTCATATTTCACACATTACTTCTACTATTGCAAGATCTGCTGTGGAGATTGAATATATCGGTGGGGGAGGTACCAAAATGATGAATATCCATGAAGCTCACAAACGAGAAATAAACATCCGATTCCATTCGGACTTGGCACATCTCAATATTTCTGGTGTCCCTGGTGGTCCTTAAAAAATATTCTTAAAAAATCCACGTTCTGTGGCTGTGATGATCTTTCAAACGTAATTTGAAAAGAAAAACACGTTTGGTGGCTGTGATGATCCTTCAAAAGTAATCTGAAAATTTTCCACGTTTGGTGACTCTGCTGATCCTTAAAAAATAATCTTAAAAAATCCACGCTTGATCCTTGAAAAATATTCCACGTTTGGGTCTTGAAAAATATTGTTAAAAAATCCACGTTTGAACCCTTGAAAAATATTCCACGTTTGGGTCTTGAAAAATATTTTTAAAAAATCCATGTTTGGTCCTGGAAAAATAGTCCACGTTTGGCTCTTGAAAAAAAAATTAAAAATCCATGGTTGAAAATAAATTTTAAACGTCTACGTTTGGCCCTTAAAAATATTCTTAAAAAATGCAACTCAAAAAAGTCCTTTGAAGTTTTATCCTTAAAATCCATAGCTGGTGGCTCTGATCACCTTTGAAAAAAATTCTTAAAAATCCACTTTTTTGACTCCAATAGGACTTGAAAAAAAAAAAAACACATGCACAAAAATGTTTTGGGTAGCTCTGATATTCCTAAGAATTGGCTTTGATGGTGAAAATATATTTTTAAAAGTCCACATCCCTTGGCTTTGATGGACCTAATATCGACAAGTATATGTCTGACATGAAAGTATTCTTTGCCTTTAAAATATTCTCAAAAGAAGCTACGGTCCTTATTGTAACACATTGATCCTGCAAAAATATATTCGAATAAAATATATCCTAAAATAAATACTAGTTTGGTGGCTCTGATGGTATTTAAAAAAAATATATTTACAAATCCATCCAATGACTTTGCAGGCCTGATTTATTCTACGTTTTAAAAAATACACTGTGGTCCTTGAAAAAATGTTTCCAAAGAAAGTCAACATTTGGTGGCTCTGATGGTCATTTTTTCGATCCGTTGGACATTGGAACATATTCTTTAAAAATCCTCATCTATTGGTTTTAGTTTACATCAAAAAATATTTTTAAAATCTTTCTTAAAAATCCACATTATCCCACAAGATCCACCTTTGATGTCACTGACAGTTATTAAAACATATTATGAAAAATGCTTTTCTCAAATTCTCATATTTGTGGTTTATTAGTCCTGCAAAACTTTTTTTGAATTGGTGAATGTGAATTGGTGCTTCTGTTGCTCCGTAAAAAATATGTTTTAAAAAACCAATGGTTCCCAGAGCTCTTGGAAAAATTTTGTTACAGAATCCCTATTTAATGGCTCTTGAAAATATAATTTTAAAAAATCTCTGTTTTTCATCCTTGAAGGAATATTATTTAAAAAATATTGTTGGTCCTTAAAAAAATATTCCTAAAAATCTACATTTAATAACTTTGATAGATCTCCACTTTTGTTGGCTTTGTTCCTTAAGTCTATTTTCATAACAATTCAATTATTTAATGTGCTTTTTAAAATATAATCATAATCTTATATTTCAAATCTCGCAAATATCTTCCATATTCCTTTCATTACTAAACCACCCACCATTTTTGAATAACCACAACAATCTTCAGTATCAATCTCCCACATAATCATGAAAAATAAATATTCAAAACAATATCAAAGAATCAAAAAAAAAAAAAACATGTAAAATGCAAATGTTCTATTTTAAATGGCCTGATTATAAATCAGATACAACCGAACTGATAACTTCCGACATATTCCGAACATGTTGGGGCTAATCTGTAACTCAGTGTGTGTGTGTGTGCGAACATTGATTTAGCATAAATAAGCATAATTTCAATATTATTTTTGATTTTGAGATATGGAATTAATGAGTTTAAACATTTTTCTTCCCACATTATCAATGCGTCAATAGTTGTTGGCCTTTGTATTTTTTAGTAATCGGCAGCGGGTTCTTCTTCTTCACGCTGAGTAGCCATATTGTTAATGGATTTCAAATTAAATCGATGCCCTGCCTGAGAAAACTATTTAAAAAATATGTTCATAGTTTATTATTATTTTATGTTTAATTTTTTTTTAATTTTCAAACATAACACTCCCACATTTCAAATGGGCAATTGTGTTTTTGTTAGACAGCAGATTAGATAGATAGGTGTTAAAAAATTATGTTGCAGCTATTTTTAAAACATTTCAATCACAGGTGCTCATTATTTTCGATTTCTAAAAATAGATATCTTTTTTATGTCGATTTCAAAAATCAAAAAAAAAAAAAAAAAAAAAAAATTGAAATCATTGACCATCAGATGAGATTTTTATATATTTTTTTGTGAAATATCAATGATGAAATTTAGTTGTTAACATAGTTTTCGATTTTTTTTTCTCAAATTTACTAACTCTTGGCAGGAAAAAATATTTTATGAACCTTCAGAAAAATCACGCAATATTGTCAATAAATTATGTTTTATTATCTTGTAATCGTGATAAAGACTAGATAAAAATTTCAAGAACATTAGAAATAAAAAAGAATGAAATATTTACCGGAATTTGTGCCCACTGTCGCCAGAAGTTCTATGTATATTATCTGAAAACAAAAAATAAACAAAAATGAGGTTAGTTTCGAAAATTTAAAAAAATGAAAACTAACAAGTAAAAAAGCTGTAAATTCGGCCGGGCCGAACTTTGAATGCCCTCCACCATTTGGAACGAATTTGGCAATTTTCAAAAAAATAAAATGCGTTAAAAATTCTGTTTAAAATCTTAAAAATACCGAATGTAGCCGTTATATTAGGGTCTATACGAGGACATGGACGTGCGTAGGCAACTTTTGTCATAAACCATTACAATATACTAATGAGAGACTTGAATAAAAAAAATCGGTGAATAATGTAGTTAAATCAAGAAAATTCCGAATATCGGGAGTTACCGTTATATGGGGGCTATACGAAGACATGGACCTGCACAGACAATTTTCCGTCACAGGCAGCAGTATTAATTACGAACTTCAAACACCAAATTTGAAACAATTCCGGTGAATAATGTCGCTAAAATCATTAAAGTATCGAATATCAAGAGGTACCTTTATATGGGGGCTATATGAAACGTGGACTTGCCCAGAAAATTTTCTGCTATAGGCTGTAGCATCCGTTACGAACTCTAAATACCAAATTTGAAACATTTTCGGTGAATAATGTCGCTTAAATCATCAAAATATCGAATATCGGGATGTACCGTTACATGGGGGCTATGCGAAGACGTGGACCTGCACAGACAATTTTCTGTCATAGGCTGTAGTACCCATTATGAACTTCAAATACCAAATTTGAAACATTTTCGCTGAATAATGTCGCTTAAATCACCAAAATATCGAAAAAAGGGTGGTATCATTATATGGGGGCTATACCAAAACGTGGACATACATGGCTTATTTTCAATACCAAAGTCCTATTAATTTGAGTAACATTTTATCAACCTACTTCATTTCGTTCGGAAGCTAGAGTGGTTTCCACAGACGGACGAACATCGCTAAATCGACATAGAATTTTATGCTGATCAAGAATATATACTTTGAGGGGTCTAAAATGTATATTTCGAGGTTTTACAAACGGAATGACAAACTTAATATATCCTCCATACTATGGTGGAGGGTAGAATCTCAAAAATCTCAAAAATTCACCTTGGAGGCTATTATAGTCTTTGCTAAGATTTAAGTTAAGAAAAAACGTGTACCAGCATCAGAGCCACCAAAAGTGTTTTTTTTTTTTTTGAGTATTTCTCAAGGACCAGCGCCATCAAAGGTGGGCTCTTAAAAATAATATTATAGGGACCATCAGGGGTGCCAAACTTGGATTTTAGGGAAATGTTTTCCAGGACCCTCAGAGCTACGATGGTCAAGGGCAATCACAGCCGACAAGCGTGGATTTTTATGAATATTTTTGAAGGACCTCTGGCCTATTAAAAGTTAATTCGAACCAACAAAAGTGGAATTTTAAAAATGTTTAGCAAGGATCTTCCGATACACCAAACTAGGATTTTAAAAATATTTTGGAAAGAAACCTCAAATGCATTAAAAGTGGATTTCAAAAGGACCATAAGAGAGCACCTTACTTGGATTTTTAAAAATACATTTTCAAGGACCTTCGAAGCATTTTTCATAAATATTTTTTAAAGGACCATCACAGTCACCAAACGTGGATATTTATGAATATTTTTAAAGGACCTATGGCCATTAAACGTGATTTTATGCGACATTATTTATCGGTAATATGTCAAATTTCGTATTTGAAATTCGTAATGGGTGCTACAGGCTATGACAAAAATTTTTGTATGCAGGTCCACGTCTTCGTACAGCCCCATTATTTATGAATATTTTTAAAAGACCTCTGGTCATTAAACGTAAATTTTTAAGAATTTGTTTCAACAACCATCAACAAAGCGTGTATTTTAAGAATATATTTTTTTGAGGACCATTAGAATCAACAAAAATGGAATTTTAAAAATGTTTTGCAAGGATCTTCAGGGACACCAACTGGGACATTAAAAATATTTTGGAAAGAAACATTAAATACATCAAAAGTGGATTTTTAAAGGACCATAAGAAATATATTTTCAAGGACCTTCGAAGCTACCAACATGTATTTTCTAAAAATATTTTATAAAGGATCACCGCAACCTAACATACCACTATATTCTGTATCAGCGTAAAACTCAAAGACGATCTCGTCTGTCTTTCTATCTGTCCGTCTGTCTGTCTGTTGTAATCACGCTATCTTTCGAAAGAATTAAGATAGAAGGCTAAAATTTTGCATACATGCATTGTTTACCAGTAGACAGGTTATGTTCGTAAATGGGCCATGTCGGTCCACGTTTTCGTATAGCCCCCATATAACGATACCTCCCGATATTCGGTATTTTCATGATTTTAGCGACATCACTTACCGGAATTATTTCATATTTAAAGTTCGTAATGGATACTACAATCTATGACAAACGTTTTTGTAAGCAGGTCTACGTTTTCGTATAGCCTTCATATACGGTAGCTCCCCATATTCGGTATTTTCATGATTTTAGCGACATTATTTATCGGTATTATATCAAATTTCGTATTTGAAGTTCGTAATGGGTGCTACAGGCTATGACGAAAACTTTTGTAAGCATGTCCACGTTTTCGTATAGCCCCCATATAACGGTAGCTCCCAATATTTGATATTTTCATGATCTTAGGGACATTATTTATCGGTATTATATAAAATTTATTTGTATTTGAAGTTCGTAGTGGGTGCTACAGGCTATGATAATAAATTTTGTATGCAGGTCCACGTCTTCGTATAGTCTCCATATGATGGTACCTTCCAATACTCGGTATTTTTATGATTTGTCCGACATTATTCACCGAAATTGTCATCATTTAAAGTTCGTAATGGGTACTACAGCCTATGACAAAAAAAAAAAAATCGTATTTGTTCACGTTTTTGTATATACCTATATAACGGTATATCCCGATGTTCGATATTTTTAACATTTTCACCGGAATTGTTTCAAATTTTTGGTATTTGAAGTTCATAATGGCTACTACAGCCTATGACAAAAATTTCGTTAGCAGAATTTTTAGGAATATTTTTCAAGGACCCTTAGAACCACAAAACGAGGATTTTTAAGAAAATTTTTCCAAGGGCCATCAGAGCCACCAGACTTAGATTTTTCAAAAATATATTCTCAAGGTTCATCTGAACCACCAATGTTGGATTTTTAAAAATATTTTTCGGCGATTTTCAGAGACACTAAACATGGATTTTAAGTATATTTTTCAAGAACCATTTTTAAGAATATTTTTAACGGACCATAAGAGACCACCAAACGTGAACTTTAAGAATATTTAGAAAAGGAACATTAGATACATCAAAAATGGATTTTTATGAATATTTTTAAAGCACGATAAGAGATCACCAAACGTGGATTCTAAAAAATATTTTTACATGACCATCGAGCCACCAGACTTAGATTTTTCAAGAATATCATAGCCATAATTCATATTTCAAGGATCATCATAGCCACCAAAGGTGTATTTATAAAAATATTTTTACGTGGATCTCAGATACCCCAAACATGGATTTTAAGTGTATTTTTAAGGACCATCAGACACTCCAAATATAGATTTTTAAGAATATTTTTAACGGATTATAAGAGAGCACCAAACATGCTCTTTAAGAATATTTTGAAAAGGAACATCAGGGGAATATTTTAAAGGAGCATAATATAACACAAAACGTTAATTTTTCAAAATATTTGTACATGACCATCGAACCACCAAAAGTGGTATTCTAGGAATATTGTTTCAAAGACCATCAGCGTCATCAAACGTGGATTTTAAAGACTATTTTTTTTAAGGACCATCAATCCACCAAACATACATTTTTAGGAATATTTATCAAGGACTATTTGGACCATCAATCGTAGATCTTTTGGAATTCATCTGTTTGTTTTTTTTTTTTTTTTTTTTTTTTTTGGAGCACAGAGCCACCAAACTTGGGAATTTTTTTCAAGGACTATCTGGGACATTTTTCAAAAATAGTTTTTCATGTACCATCATACACTATAACATATGGATTTTAAGGAATATTTTTTCAAGGAACCTCAGAACCATAAAAAGTTGCTCATCAAAGTTGGATTTTTTTAAGAATATATGTTCAAGGACCATCAGAGCCAAAAAACGTGGATTTTTAAGGATGGCGAGGACGGCATTCATAATGCAGTTGTGGATGGCATCTGGACATCCTTCTCCAGATTATGTATGTTCTTTTTGACACGTCTGGGTGGGGAAGTTTTTTCCACTATTTTATGATTTGGTTGACACCCAGGATAGGATAACACCCAAGCCGGTACTTCATCGGAAGCATATGGTTATAATGACGTATGGGAAGGACCTTCGCCACTTCATGTGGATGGTCCACTGGCTACCCTGAGAACTGCTACAGGGTGCCTGCGTTCTGGCAGATCTGAATGTTCTGCCACTTCGTAGCATTTATATTCGCAGACCACATTGGCTGACCACACGCGCAGAAATATTGCGTTATATGAGGTCAACAAGGTATCCTTGTCCGCATCCCCAGTGTTGCGGGCTATTCACCCTTAGACAAAATTTTGCTCTTTTTTTAGAGATTTCGCTCTCAATCAAATTTTTCGAACAGGAGCGGCAACAAAAGAGTGAAGAGTAGACTCGAAAAAAAAACTCCCACTCTTCGAGTAATTCTGCTATTCCATAAGTGATTAAAAACTTTTGATTCAAATGTTGATTTTGCTTCAGAGCAAAAAAATTGATTTTTCTGCAATTTTTCTCATGGCCTCTAAAAGCCGCTAAATATGGATTTTGAAATAATATTTTGGATTTTGAAGCAATATTTCTTTGGCTTATTTGATTTTTTGCAATTTTTAAGATCTACAGGGTAAGATGAAAAAACTACATCCAACTTCAGACTGCTGTCATTTCTAAGCCAAGCGTCCGAAAGCTGTTAAAATTATTCCAGTGGCAACTCATTATATTGTTTACAAGCGCACAAAAGCATTTTGGTGAGAATTTTCGAGAAA